CTGTTGAAAAGCACTGAAAAGGTTAATGTGGTAAAACAGGACAGCACCTGCCCCTCAGAGGGAGAGGAGGAGCTGGAACACTTTTCCTAATCAATTAGTCCATTAATGAGTCTATCAAGTAGTTAAGTAGTTAAAGATTATGCCGCTGGTCTGGGTAACAGTCGTCATCTCGCTATACCTAATTATATTATAAGTACTTTATTCAATATACCGGACATAATATGGTGACTCGGAGTTAATGAAAATGTCATTTTAAAACGTCTTGACATTTGTCTCTATTGATTTGTATATTTCCATTTCATTCTTTGCTTTCCCCTATTTGATTTTTTTTTTTTTAATTTTTGGAGGGGGGTATATTTCTGGAGAGAGAGAATGACCGCTCCGTGGGGGGAGGAATCAACAGCTGGAGCTCGCAGAGACCCCCGCCCCACCCAGCTCGGGCAACCTGGGGTTAAAAACGCGGTTCCAAGGCCCCTGCCAAGGCCAAGGGTATTGCACCTGGACATGGATGCGACCAAACCCACCAGGATTTCGGAGCTGCAGCAGCGCTTCCCGCTCGCTCCCCTCCGCGGGAGCCTCCCCGGCGGCAGCGGGGCTGCAGCAGCCGGGCAGGGCACGGCTGCGGGCTCGGGGACAGCCACGGACACGGACACGGGTGTCCGCGGGGGAGGAGGGCCCGGGAGGGAGTTCATCCCTCCGGAAGCGAAATAGAGAAAGCGGGGGAGTGCAGGCGGAGAGGGCGGCGGGGTCTGCCCGGGGCTGGGGTCGTGGGGCACCTCGCGGACCAGGCTGGTGCTTTCCACACCGGCCCCGTTACCGGGGCTCCTTCCTGAGCCACGGCGGTGGGAGGGAGGGCCCAGCTCCCGGTGCCAGGCAGCCGTCGGGGCTCGGTCTCCGCCTGGCACCTCCAGGGAAAGGGGCTCCAGGCCCCAAAACCGCGGCCTGGGGAGCCTCTGGGGCTCCCAGCTGCAGCTCCTGCTGTCTGCGCTAAAGAAGGCGATGGGTCCTGGCAGGGTCCTTGCCCTCGGCTCCACGTTCCTTGGGGACAGGTGGGACACAACAGCTGCCACCTGCGGGTTTCCCCTTCCGAGGGCAGGAGCGGCGGGGGAAGAACTGCGGTGGCTGTGATTTATACCCAGCCCGAGGGGAAGAGCCCCCGACTCCTGACAAAGTTTATTTGGAAATGCAGCGGCACGTACCCTCCCTCCCTGCTCCCCGCTTCCAGGCCCGGGCATGAAAACGCGGGAGGCATTTCGTGGGACATTTGTTACCGGCTGCAGCACAGCAGCGCAAATCCCGGATTCGGGAAGGTTTCCCAGTGCTGCCAAGCAGGCAACACACACCGTGACAGGTTTTTTCCCTCCTTTAATGAGGAGCAGGGTAAAGATCCCCGGATATGCACAAGGTGTTTATTCCGACACCCCCCGCGGCCGGCCGGCATGAGCCATTCAGCCCACGTCGTTGTCGCCCACTCGAGGTGGAGGGCAGGAGGGATGGCGGGCGGCCAGCAGCCCTCCTCCGGGGTCGCGGGGTCAGCGTAGCCCCGGGGGACGGCGGCGAGGACCCGCCGGGGGTTCCCCCCTCCAACTCCGGCGCACCCCCCCATTCCCGGAGCCCGCGGGTTTCCAAACTTTCCGTGTCCGCCGCCGCCGTGATTGGCGCGGCGGAGGCCACCTCCATGCAAATGAAGCCCCGCCGCCCGCCGCCCGCAGATCAATAGGGACGCGGGGGAAGGAGCATGCATTCCGCCTGGGTCGGCGCGGGGAGAGCCGCCCGCCGCCCGCCCCAAGCGCCCCCCGAAACACGCCCCACCGACGGCTCCCCGCAGGCTGCCGGGGCACCCCCCTCCCGCGCACCCCGAGCCCCTCTAAAGCGACAGCTTCCCTCCTCTGCTTTCTTATGAACCCAGGATGAGCAGCAAAGAAGACCCGAGCAAGTGCTGTCCGGCGGCTGCTCCCATCTCCAGTTTCACCATCCAGTCCATCCTGGGCAGCGGCAGCGCCGACCCTCCCCGGGAAGCCGCAGACAGGGCGCCCGCCTGGCCCGCCCGCGCCCGGACCCTCTCCCTGTCCTCGGAGGACGAGGAGCCGGAGGAGAGCTGGAAGCACCGCGGCTGCTTCTGCCCCGAGGCTCAGGGCCCCGCCGAGGCGTGCCACAAGCACCAGCCCCTGAGCTTCACCTGTCTCGGTGAGTACCGCAGGGACGGGACTGACGGGCCCCGCCGGGAAGGGCCGCGGAGGGCTCGGCCCCGCTCCGGCCCCCGCCGGGAAGAGGGAGGCGGGGGCACGTCGCACCTTCTCTGCTTTCGGGCACAGAGTGTTTGCGCCGTCCGTGGGTGAAGCGGGGAGGAAGGAACTCCAGGAAAAATGGGGTGGCTTTTTAAACAAAAAATATTTTCCATCCCATCCGGTGTTGATTTCCCCGAGGGATGCGGTGCGATGGATAACGCTCGTTTTCTTAGCTTCTGATTACAGCTCGGGCAGAGGGAAGAACATTGTTTATTAATTTTATTTTATTTAGCATTATTTCTGAATAAACGGTCTATGAAATGCGATGCTGTAAAGTAAAATTTGCCGGCTCGTGTCGGATAGGAAGCCTGGTACTCAGCTGCTTTCACTGTGGCACACACTGTCACCTGTCCGTCCATCCATCCATCCATCCATCCGGGGCACAGGGATACCCAGGAGGGGATGGCTTCCCCAGGGGTCGGTTGTGTGTTCCCCCGGGAGCAGAGGCGGGTGCCTGCCCGGGGTCTCGCCTCGGTGCTTCTTCCCTCCGGGCCGGGGGGCTCGGCCGTCGGGGGTCCCGGTGCCGGCCGCCGTGCGACCCCCGCGCTGTCGCTCTGTTGCAGGCAGCGCCAAGGGGAGCGGAGCGGCGGCGGCGGGCAGCGGGGAGCGGGGGCCCTTCCTCTCGCCTCCCCCGCAGGACTGTAAGGACGAGAAGGAGAAGCCGCTGGGACCCTCCTCGCCTTCCTGCGGGGAGCGGCAGCGCGACGGCGGGGACCGGCAGGCCGGCGCCGCCAAGAAGAAGACGCGCACGGTGTTCAGCCGCTCGCAGGTTTTCCAGCTGGAGTCCACCTTCGACATGAAGCGCTACCTGAGCAGCTCGGAGCGGGCCTGCCTGGCCTCCAGCCTGCAGCTCACCGAGACCCAGGTGAAGACCTGGTTCCAGAACCGCAGGAACAAGTGGAAACGGCAGCTCTCGGCCGAGCTGGAGGCGGCCAACATGGCCCACGCCTCGGCGCAGACTCTGGTGGGGATGCCGCTGGTGTTCAGAGACAATTCCCTCCTCCGAGTGCCGGTGCCCCGGTCCATCGCCTTCCCCGCCCCTCTCTACTACCCCGGCAGCAACCTCTCGGCCTTACCGCTCTACAACCTCTACAACAAGATCGACTACTGAGCCCCGCGCCCCCCGCCCCGTCGGGACCGCAGCGGGAGCGGGGCCGGGGCCGCCGCGGGGGCTCCGTGCGGGCTCTCAGGCCGCCCCCGTGGAGGGGACACAGCACCGAAACTGATGGGAGGGACGGGCACACGGAGAGCCCGGGGCGCCGGGGGCACCCCCGCTCTGCCCTCCTGCCGTCCTGTCACTTGAAAAGGAAAAAAAAAAATTAATTAAAAAAAAGCGTTATTTCAGATCTGTAAATATTTTTAAAGAAAGTAAGAAAGGGAAAAAAAAATTAAAGCGTTTTAAGCCTCGTTTGTACATTTGCCACCTCGGTCGCGTGTCCCCGAGGGGGACCCCGGCACCGGGGGTGCCCCGCGGCCGGGCCGGGAAGGGCCCGGGATCGATGCACGGGAGAGCCAAAACGACTCGTAACGCCGAGGGTTTGTTTTTCCGGAATTTTTGCTCCTTATCTCGTTTCCTGCAGGGAATCCCAGCCGGGCCCGACCGTCCGCCCGTGCCGGGGCCGGCGGGGGCTCGCTGCCCTTCTCTCGGCTGGGAGATGAGGGGCATTTCCCGGAAAGTTTCGTTAAACGGGGACTTTTTTTTTTCTGTTTTTCGGAGTGTTTCGGTGGAAGCCGCGGTGATGGGCTCGGTGCTACCGGGGACTGGTCGCTGCTCTCCGCGGCTCGGGTTCGCACTGGGCATCCTCGACGGCCCCCGTGGGTCACGGCAAACCGGTAAATCCCGAGCGAACTGCGGCCACCGGCTCCGAGCTCCGGCCCGTGCCGAGCGCCGGGGCTGTAACAGCTACAGCAACGAGGACAGCGAAAAACAAACCCCCTATTTTAGTTCCCTGATAAAATACCCGACGGGATAAATGAGGCGTTTTGCCATGCGGGGAAGGAGAACGCGCTCCCCGCGCTCCACAGCCGGGGTTTGAGCCACAGCCCCGCGGTAGCGGCAGCCCGGCTGGGGAACACGGCCCCGCTTCGCCTTTCGGACTCTGTTTTTAGGGGTAATAACTCGTATTTCGGGTTTTATCCGTTAGCACCGCTAAAGCCCAGCAGCAGCCTCTCTCCCCGTGCGGTTCCCCCTGGGGCACCTCCCGGGCCCCTCCGTTATCAGCCGGGGTGGGACGGGGAGGAGGCACCGACCCCCTCACGCCGCCACTGCCCCGGGAGCGGCGGACTACAACTCCCGGCACGCCCCGCGGCGGCGGGCTCGCGGCGCACGTCGGGGACGCAGCGCCACGCGCGTTCGAACCGGCCAATCGCGGGGGGAGGGCGGCAGTGCGCGCGCGCGGGCGGCGGCGGCTGAGGTGAGGCCGGGACCTCGGGACCGGGACCGGGGGTTCGGGATTTGGGATCCGGGATCTGGAATTCGGGACCCTGGGCACGGCTTGGCCTGGCCCGGCCCTCCCGTCCCGGCCGCGCGTTCGTTCCCCCGTGCGGAGCCCTCCCTGCCTGGTTCCCAGGCCCTTCCCTCACTCTCTTCCCTTCCCGCAGCGTTTTCCTCATCCCGGCGCTCCTCACAGGGACCGAGGCCTCGGGGCTGCCCTGACTCCGAAAGCTTTTCCTTGGCGGCCCGTGGAGCAGCGGGAGGAACTCGTTCAGCATGAAAACGGTACTTTGAGTTTCGTGTTCTGTGAATAAAAGCGCGGGAGGGGAGTCCCGAGGCTCGTTCTGCTTTGTTCCAGCTCCTCCGGCCAGCTCAGTGACACCCGTGCCAAGAGGAGCTATAAAAGCACAGATTTCTTGCTTGCTCACTAAAAATTTTTTTTTCCCCCAATTTTTTTTTTTTTTTCAAACTGAACCCCGTGGTTAAGTCAGAATCGCCATTTCAGCAGCATGTGCTTTCTCTGTAATATTTAAAAACTTTTTTCCTCAACATTTTACCAGGATTTTTGTTTGAGGTGGGCACAGCACTATGGTTTGGAATCCTGGTTGTGTTTTTGTGAAAATGTGGAGCTCTGGGTCTGATTTTTTTTTTTTAAGAGGCAGGACATACTTAAATTCTGATATTATGAACATTGTTCTGGATTTAAAATGTATTTGGGACATCCTTCCAGGTTTCTTGTGTTAGTAGCTTTGCCTCCTGGAGTTCCTTTTGGGCTGGTTAATAATTTGTACCAGGCCTCAAATAATACAGTAAGTCGTACCTCAAACCTCATGTTTGTTTGAGTTTTCTGGCCTAAGTAGGCACAGCAATAATCTTGTCCAATTTAATTGTCTCAGTTGTTCTGAATTCCTTGAGGTTTTGTGTCTCTGGATGTGCATCTGAAACATCCTCAGTAGGTGCTGCTGAATCCCAAGTAACATTCCCATGGAAAGATGTGTTGCAAAACCTCAAGCTTCTCATTTCCCAATGTTCCCAAAGCAGGGCTAAAAAGGGGGCTCAGAAAGAAGCTTCTCTATGATTAAAAGGGTTTTTTCCCTTCACTTCATGCTTCAATAGCAGAAATAGCAATTTATGTTGACACAGTGGGTGTTTTTTTTTGTGTTTTTTGAAGGGTGTCTTAGAGAGCAAAGCTCCCACTCAGGAAATCTCTCCAGTGTAGGAATGTGTGTTCCTCACTTTATTACACAACCTGATGATTGTTTAGCTGCTGACAAACACCAAACTGTGCCCTAAATTTGCACCTGGCCCTAGGTTCCTCTGCTCCTTGTCTTCTGATTTATTCTCAGGGCTGTAATCTTACCTTCACAGTTGTGCATACAAATTCTGTGACAGTGGTACAGAAAATCTGAGCTAAGTCACTGCTCTGCCCTTTAGCAGAAGGTAAATGTGCTGAGAAGGCCTTGAGAAACCTTGAAAAGAGGCTGTGCTCGTTTCGTGGTGTGTAACCAGCACTTTCTTCTTTCAAAGTGCTTGTAAGGTGCTGTTTTGCAGCTGAAATTTGCAGTTCATAACTTCTGCTGTCCTTGGAAGTTTTCAACAAACTGGTCCTGGATTGGGAGTGCTGCATTTGCCTTGCAGTCACTGCTCTTTGATTGAATTGTTGATGTTTTTCTGGTCACATCCCAGTTCTGGGGTCACTCCACATTTCAGCACTTCTCAAAACATAACTTTCCTTTCTTTACCTGCTCTTTGGATTCTAAGAGAGGGGGAAAAACAATCTTAAAGCTTTTTGTTGCACATATTTCACAGCACTTGTGGAAGTCTAAAGGTCTGAAAGTTGCACAGCTGTATAAAAGATGATCCAGTTGCAATTCTTGGAAGCATGTGACAGTCATACCAATCCAGGAGCAAATCAACATTTTTTTGAGTTTTCAAATCCAATTTTTTTTCTGCTAAGACATGTTTCTTAAAGCAACTTCTTGATGTTCACAATAACTTAGAAATATTTACTTCAAAAATCACAGCCACACACTCAGCAGAGTGAGGGAAATACATTTGTAAGTAACAATATCTAAGCTTATAGATTATAATAATGATCATAATATTTTTGTGTTGTTTATTCATGTTGCATTTGATATTTAAAAGCCCTCTGTAGAGAAAGGCATTTATTGAGGTTTTGGACAGGGATTGCCATCTTGAACTTTAGAGTTTGGAGAAATTTGGGTGTTCTGAACCTGTTCTGTGTAAAAGCCACTGAAGTTTTCAGGTCTGCTTTGGGCTGCCTTTCAGAGGCTCAGTCTTGTTCCCTGCTAGGCCTGTGTTCTTTAGTCATTAAAATTGCTTTGTGCCTTGTTGTCTGCAGATGACGGGATCAAACGAGTTCAAGCTCAACCAAACTCCAGATGATGGGATTTCATCAGTGAAGTTTAGTCCAAACACATCTCAGTTTCTGCTCGTTTCATCCTGGGACACAACTGTGCGGCTCTATGATGTTCCTGCCAACACCATGAGACTCAAATATCAGCATTCAGGGGCTGTCCTGGACTGTGCTTTTTATGTAAGTGTGGGAGGGCCTTTTTAATTATTATTTTACAGCTGTAGAGTGGCCAAAGTATGAGAAATTGTCAGTCTCTGAAATTACAGAGCGGGCCTACCTGTGCTTTTTTTCACTGAATGTTTTGTCATGTGGCTGATGCTGTACTGTGGATCAACACTCAGGTTCTCAAATTGTATCTCCCTTCTAAATCAGTTTTAGGATTATCCTGCACCTAGATGGGTTCTCAGTAATTTAAAATATGAAGAAATGGAAATTATTTGGTCTTGCCTCTATCTGCCTTTTTAAAATTTATTTTCGTTTTACTTCTAAACTAAAGAACTTCATATTGCTCAAAGCACTTAAGCATTTTGTAAAGCTTCTGTCTGCTTAAATCTGGGTCAGACTTTAACATTTGTGTCTTAATTCCTATCTTCCCAAAACTCTTGAAAACAAGTCCTATGTTATGAGTTTAGAATGCTGAAAGCAGAGCAGCCATGGAAACTTAATAAGGTAAATTTAATTGCTTTATAGGATCCTACCCATGCCTGGAGTGGGGGGCTGGATCAGCAACTGAAAATGCACGACTTAAACACGGACCAAGGTGAGCAGATTGAATGCTAACTGCTGTCAGCAACTGAGCTTCAGATTTATGTACTTATATGCACAGATTATTCTTCAGGTTCTTTAGGTGGGGGATACTTAAGTATCTGGTCAGTAAATAACCAGTGACCCTAACAAGGCCCACCTAAAAACCTGGAAGAATTTGGCATTGCCAGAAGATTTGGTAGCTGCTTGCAGGATTCCTTGAATTGGTTTTCTGATGATAATCCTGCTCTGCCATAGGCTTCAGTGGCTCAGAGTGAAGTAGCCAAGCTGAACTAAAACTGAGCATGTTGTTTTTCAGAGGTTTGTGGGTTGGATGTATTTAGAATGATCTTTCATGGCAGAGGATGTACAGAGCTTTTGCTTTATCAATGCAGGATTCCTTGAATTGGTTTTCTGATGATAATCCTGCTCTGCCATAGGCTTCAGTGGCTCAGAGTGAAGTAGCCAAGCTGAACTAAAACTGAGCATGTTGTTTTTCAGAGGTTTGTGGGTTGGATGTATTTAGAATGATCTTTCATGGTACAGAGCTTTTGCTTTATCAGTCATGACCTTGTGCTACAGTTTTTTTCTAAGAAAACATTGCTTGAAAATACCAGTTCCAATGCCTTGGTGCAAAATATGGAACTAGTTTGTCTCACTTTTTTGTGTATTTTTAGAATGTTAAAGAGAAAAGCAAACTTCAGCCAGTCACCAGCATCTGCTAATAGCCAGGGCTTGACAAATCAGTGTGTGCAGTAATGGTACCAAAAAGCTCAAATAATTCTGCCATACCTGACTTCCTACAAGTGTTTTAATATTTTTATTAAGGTGCTCATTGCTTTCTCTTGTCATATTATTGATGTACACAAGCTTAAGTTGCTTTCTGTGTTAGTGTGTTTGTCAGTGTGATACCAGTTGATGCTTTATACCTGTAAAGATCTCTCAGTGACTGCCTAAAATTCTTTAATCCTAAGCTTAAGAAACATAAATTTAAATGTAACAATCCTGATCTTTGCAAAAGTTATGCTTCTGAAGGTTGAACTATCCTTACAGGGACTTTGGCATAGAAATGCACCTGTAGAATGTCAGGAAATGCTTGTGCTGCAGTTGTGTTCTTTTTTTATTCTTTATTTCTCATTCTGTTTGTAGGGTCAGTAAAATTGCAAAATGTTGTGTTTTCTTACAGAAAACCTTGTTGGTGCCCACGATGCTCCTATCAGGTGTGTGGAGTATTGCCCAGAAGTGAATGTCATGGTGACTGGCAGCTGGGATCAAACTGTCAAACTCTGGGATCCCAGAACTCCCTGCAATGCAGGAACCTTCTCCCAGCCTGAAAAGGTAAGTGCTGCATTCCAGGTGCTAAATAATGAATCCTGGGTCTGAAACACCACAGGACACTGCCTTGGGCTGAAGCTGTGAAGTTATATTTAATGTTTTTTAAACTGAGTGGAAGTGTAGCATTTTAAAAGATTGGTATTCAGAATGTATTGCCATTTTTGGTGAGGGCTTTGAGCTTTTCCTCAATGTTCCTTAATTCTTGGTGCTTGTGCTGGACCACTTTCTTAAAACTTAAAATAAATTTGAAGGAAAACCAAGTATCTTGGCTTCATTGTAAAATGCACAGTTGATTTCCTTAAATGTTAAGATTTTAGGTGTATCAGACCCTGACAGTCCCAAGGTCTGATTGTTCTGGAATGTGCACAGAAAAATATCTCTGTAGAAGGTATTTTATGTTGCCTGAAATTATATTTTTGGTTTTTACTTGTGTTCAAAAAATTGAGCATTGCTTGTGTTGTGATTTGCCTGTTTTGTAGTAATGCCTAGTAAATTTAGATATTCTCCTAAAGCTGAAAACCTCTGTGATAAGGGAGACTCAGAGAAATAAGATAAAATGGGATGATGTCTTCAGCTTTTTCTAATGGCCATATGATGTGTTAACTTCTCATGCTGCTTACAGCAGTGTCATTGAAGGAATTAACAGAAATTCCTGTTTTTTTTTCCAGAGACTCCTAAACACAGGTTGGCTTGCTGGATAATTTTACATATGATTTTTTTTTTTTGCCCGTACCTTTTAAAAATTTCATTTAGCACTGTGACATCCTATTGTCAAGTCCTAATTATGAGCCATCATTACCTTCTCTTTGCCCCTAAATAGCT